CAACACCACAGACACACAACACACAAACAAACCCACACACAACACAACTCACACACACACACACACTCACATACACACACACACACATACACTCACATACACACACACTCACCCACACACACACACACACACAGACACACACACACACACAACACACAACACACACACTCACATTACACTTCACACAAACACACAATCACATCAACACACACACACACACACACACACACACACACACTCACATACACACACACACATACACTCACATACACACACACTCACACACAACAGCCACACAGACACCACACACACCGCACACACACACACACACACACACACACTCACATACACTCACACAAACACACACACTCACATACACACACACACAGACACACGCACACACACACACACACACACACACAGACACACGCACACACACATGCACACACACAGAAAAAGAATTTTGTGCGAAAAGTAAGAATTGTTAGACTTTCAGAAACAGTTAGACTTTTGAGATTTTGAGAAAAGTCACTTAATAGTAAATTCCCAAACATGAGTTATTTGGATAAATGACTCACATATTGGTAATCTATATGGTGTCACGCCTTAAGGCATTTCATAACTTAATAACAGATCATTAAAGCTAAAAAAGCAGTTTCTTAGTCAGGTAATGTTGATAAAGCCGGCGATGCTATCTCCTGTAACAGCAAGTACTCTCTAACTGGAAGTACCCACACGAGGCCATGTGGTGGCGCTCTAGAGCAGGTGAAGCACGAGGTGAATTAAAACAGAACTTTCTGTGGTTTCATGAACTCACCATTTCCATTCGACTCTGTGTTTTGTGTAATTGACATGTTGTTATTTTAGTTTTGTTCTTGTGTCGTTGTGTCTTGAGTGTAACTTCTCTCTCCTCTGCTCTCATTGCCATCCATAGGATCTGTCTAAGGTACACCATCCCATTAGCCAGATCAATATGTTAGAAAGCAGAGTTGTATGCACAGATTAGCGTCCCGAGGGTTTATTAGCGTCTTTTGTTTAGTTTATACTAAGTGTTCCCTATGCTGACAGATTCCATTAGTATTTATTTATAGTATTGCAGTCTTACTTTGGTCATTTTTTAATATAGATTTTTTTAAATAAACTTTTTTAAATGTCCCTTTGTTCAGATGTTTAAATGGGTTCTGTTTTGTGTTGCATCCATTCACATCGTTTCTCATTCTCTCGGTTAGACTTTAGTCTCTTGGACATCTTTCCATATTGTTTTTTTAAATAAACTCTGTTACGTCTTTTGCCCCGCCCCTTTGCATAGTTTCCTGGTTTTTAATTCTCTTAATAGTTTAATATTTTTTTTTTTTTTTGGTCAGTCTCTTTTGTTTTCCCCCTGGTTTATATTTTTATTTTTCCGAACCACTATTGCTAAATATGGCCCGACTTTCCTGATGATTTAATTCTTGATAACTCGTAATTTACATATTGATATTGTTTCTTTCTTATCATTGGTGTTTCTTTAATTCTGCTTAATTGTGGTTTACTCACGAGTCCCCAATGTCTGTATTGTGTTGATGTTAGTTAAAGGGGACCTATCATGCAAAATGCACTTGTGTACGTCTTTTCTACATGAATATGTGTCCCCGGTGTTCCAGGGAACTCACCAAGTGTCAGAAAACACAACCCTCTCTATTTTCCTCCATACCCAAATCTCTAAAAAAGGGGCTGCAACGGATCTGATAAAAACTGATCCAGATTTGAACACTGTCCTGACGTCAGGACGGTGGCGCTACGGCTATTGGGCCAACTCCACCAATCAGGAGGAGACAGCCACGGCCATTGCCGTTAGAAAGCGCTGGAGACGCTGTAGTACATATGCCAGGCCTCTAGATGGTGCTGTTCTCACTGAATATGCCCTTGCTAAAACAGATCTAAAAAATGTCAAATTGAGCGAAATGAGGCATGGCTAAAATGCATGATCTGTTTGGTATTTTGAAGAAAAAAAAGTATAAATATACCTTATATAGGTATGGTCCCTACACTATATTATTATAATATAGCATGATAGCTCCACTTTAAATATCTAAAAACCCTTATTATTATGAAATGGACTTGTGTGTTTGCTCCTTCAGCCTGGTGCTGCTAGTGTTCCTCAACATGATGCTGTTCTACAAGCTGTGGATGCTGGAGTACTCCACCCAGTCCCTCACCACATGGCAAGGTCTGCGGCTGCATGAGAGGTACACACACACACACACACACACACACACACACACACACACACACACACACACACACACACACACACATAGACACACACACACACACCTTCAATTTCCACAACACTCAATTATTAGCTACGATTGCTAATTTGCTACTGTTACTTAAAGTCTGAGTGCTTCCTCCACCACTGTTTTAAGAGAGAGTAAATGGTTAATTTATGTCTCGCCATTTTATAATACAAAACATGTTCTCTATCCTTTTGGACATTATCTCCAAGGAGTTATTATTGTCTATTTGCCCATAAGAGGTCACACTTAAATACTCCTACATCACACACACTGTCAAACGTACACATTAAACTATATCCATATGTCCGTTGATGCGTGTGACAGGAAAATATGGAGCTTATAAAATCTCCCCTGAATAGCTCTGGGCTTAATGTAGCAATTTACCAAAGTGTTTGTTGGCAGACGCTCAATATTGAAGTCATGATTCGGTGGCTGCGCCCTGATGTTGCTGTGTGTGTGCGTGCGTGTGTGTGTGTGTGTGTGTGTGTGTGTGTGTGTGTGTGTGTGTGTGTGTGTGTGTGTGTGTGTGTGTGTGTGTGTGTGTGTGTGTGTGTGTGTGTGTGTGTGTGTGTGTGTGTGTGTGTGTGTGTGTGTGTGTGTGTGTGTGTGTGTGTGTGTGTGTGTGTGTGTGTAGTAAACTCCCTCAGACCCAGATGGAGTGGGCTCAGCTCCTGGAGGCGCAGCAGCGTTTCCACGACTCGGAGCTGCAGAAGTGGAGAGAAGTCATCAAATCATCCGTAGTGCTGCTGGACCAGGTAGGAGAAGAGACGTCTTCAAAATACTCGCTACGATTCATAAGGGTTAATAAGGGTTAATGTGCAGAGAGGCGCTCATTATTGAAAAAATAATACTATATAATACAATACTATCCTATTGGATTCAATATGGTACGATATGATTTGATACCATACGATCCGATACAATTTCGATATGCTACGATTCGATATCATTTCGATACGAATCGATACAATACGATTGGATATTGATACGATAAGACACAACTCGATACAATTTCATACAATGCGATTCAAAACTATACAACATGTTACGATTTTATACAATTCGATACATTACGATGCGTTTCGATACGGGTTCGTAACTATACGATTCATTACGATACAATTTGATACGATTCGATATTGATACGATAACACACAACTCCATACAAATTGATACGATGTGATTAATTGTAATAAGATTTGATACGGTACGATACGATAAGATGCAATTTGGTGCCACATGATTCTACTCATCCATTCAATACAATTCTATACGATTAGAAATCAAAGGACATGATTCGATACTTCATCAACTCGCTATACTCTGACTGCTGCACCAGAAAGAAAGGATTCATGTGTTTATCTTAAAGGAAGTGAGGGAACTGATATGTTTAACAAACTGTCGTGTCTCTTCTTCCTCCTCAGATGAAGGACTCCTTGCTGAACCTGCAGAGAGGCATCGGTCTACAGGACTTCAGCTCCGAGGCGGAGGAGAAGAGAAGTCGATACCACTGACCGACCCACCAGGCCATGAGGCGTGCTGTGCAATATACTGTAGGACCTGTGTGTTTGTGTGCAGGCAGCAGAGAGGACGAGGGGGCGGGACCAACGGGGAGCTGGTCCAATCGAAACAAAGCGAGGATCAGTCGTCTCCAGCGCACAGGAGGAGGAAATCTCAGACAGGATGTGCTCCTCCTATCACACGTAGGAACTGAGGCGTCACCCAACAACACTGAGGCATTGTGGGAAAGTCTCTACACCTGTGGGATAAACAGTTTTTACCTCTCTTATTTCCAAGTGCATCCTACTGTAAGCCATGTGGAGCAGAGAGGAAGAGGGACAACTTCTGCATGCATTTAGACAACATAGCTCCCCTCAGTGTCCGTGTGGTCCAGTTCCAGTCTGTGTGTCAAACAAAAAGAAGAACAGAAGACTTAACGACGCTCTCTAGACTGTTCCAAACCCACCGTCGCCCTACAGGTCCTCGCTGCAGAATCCCTTCATTCACCTCCATGTGATCAGAGGACAGTATTTGTCCACAACCAAAAAGGAAGAGAAGGTTGTGAGCTTCTCCATCAGTCCCTGTTGCCTTGTCTTAGTCTCCGTCGGGGCTGGATCCCTGTCAGACTGTTGGAATATTTATAAAGACTGAGACCTAAAGCCAGTACTTTTAACACAATCAGTGCCCCAGTGTTAGCCACCGCTCATTATCCTCCTCCTTCTAATGAAGCAGAATGTATTATCCTGGACTAAGAGGCCAGACGCTGATCAATACTTATTGATTTTTCAAAAAAGGGGGTGCTGCAGCAAGACCAATAGGGAGACCTGTGTTCCTACATGTTTTATTACTAAACTGTGACTATATCTCTTTGAAAATGTTTCAAATTCTATGAATATATTTGAAATATATAAGAATATTTCATTATTTAATATATATATATATTTCAAAATATATAAACATTACCTATATTTATTGTTAATTTATGTACATACAGAAATTATCAGAGCTCTAGATCGGTTTAAGAATTTCTAACTAAAGTGTTTTCTTCTAAAAATGCATGCCAGATATGTCTGTGACATGTCCAGTGTGCAAGTATGATTCTGCATTTGCGCGATTATAAGCGTGCACGTGTGAGTGTGTGAGTGTGCGATTGCGTGCGTGTGAGTGTGCGTGCATGCGTGCGTGTGCGCACAAGTGTGTGCTGTAAAGTGTGACATTTTTACCATTCCACACGTGTGTTTTTCTTACTTTTAATTTTCTGGCTCCTGCAGCCAGACTGCCTTTTTTAATGCTAATGCGTTTGGATGTCGCCTTGCATTAGCCCCACCGGGTGCAGTTTACAATCGAAGAGTTTTGTTCCAAAATGACATATCCAACATTTGAAAACAAAGTTACACCTACTTAAAAAATTGACTACTTCAAATATGAATTAAAGAGTGTTTGACACATTCACATTCAAAAGGAAGTGAAACCATTGATCTACATTTTAAGCTAGATTATTTTTGTCTTGTAAAAGGATATAAAACATTTTGGAGATGAACCCTTCATTTGCCGTCTTTGTCGATGTCACCACACGGGTGGCTTGACGAGTCTTTGCTAAAGGAATAGTTTTCAAATGAATTTATAAACTTCACTTATTGCTGAAAGTTATGTTGAGTTGTAATGTTGATACCACTTTTATGTCAGTACGCTAAATATGAAATTAGAGCCAGCTGCTAGTTAGCTTAGCAACCATTTCCTGTCAATATGTCAACTTTCTTCGGGCTCTACTGGCTAGCTGCTAGTTAGCAGCATGCTTGCAAGCCTAGCTATTTGCCTTTAGTATTGCTAAGTCAACCAACGAATGGCTAGCTGTTGGTTAGCTAAGCTGTATGCAAGCCTATATATTAACCAGGCAGTATGCTAGCAAGCCTAGCTGTTTCCCAATTGTTTAAGCTAAACCAACCATCTACTGACTAGCTGTTTAGCTAAACTGTATGCAAGCCTGGATTAGCTAGGCAGTATGCTAGCAAGACTAGCTATTTCACTTTTTAATGCTAAATCAACCATCTACTGACTAGCTGTTTAGCTAAGCTGTATGCAAGCCTAGATATTAGCTAGGCAGTATGCTAGCAAGACTAGCTATTTCACTTTGTAATGCTAAACCAACCATCTACTGGCTAGCTGTTAGTTAGCTAAGCTGTATGCAAGCCTAGACATTAGCTAGGCAGTATGCTAGCAAGCCTAGCTATTTCCCCCTTGATATGTCATTTTTAACCATAGCCTGGCTCTAGCTACATATTGACCTTGTATATGAGAGTGGTATCTTCCCATAAAACTCTCAGCAAGAAAGTAAATAAGCATATTTCACAAATTGTCACAAAACTATTCCTTTAAAAACACAGATATTATACTCTCCCTTCCCCCGTTTCTGTCTTGGATGCAATGAAAGCATGAAAAATGAACTTTAAAAAATTGAACCAAAAGAAAGAAGTAGAAATGTACCTTCACAAATGATCATGTTTTGTTAAGTGAAGTATTTATCATGTATGTCATGTATTATATATACTGGGTTAGAGCATCTTTTAAGAGTTTGTCAACAGAGACCCCTGACAGCTGACAGATATTAGGGACGAAAGCACTTCCAAAAATAAGAAAGACTTCGTTGTGTTTAAAAGAGAAAAGGAGAGAGAAAGCACTTTAAAGCCTTTTTTCAGGTGAAGAATGAAAGAAAGACACAGCAGCGGTTTAGTTAAGAGACGACTGCAGGGTTACTGTGGTGTGTGTAGTTCATTTGACAATCACAATGGTGGTTTACAACTTCCAAACTCACTAGAAAAGCTGGATTTGGTTTTGTACTGCTTACAAATTACTTCTGCAATGCATTATGTCAGGGGTGTCAAACTCAATTTCATCGCGGGCCACGTCAGCATTATGGTCAAAGGGCCGGTTGTAACTTTAAGACTATATAAATATACATAAATAAATATTTAATATATTTAAAATAATGTATTATATTACATTATTGCCTCTGCATTGGATTATTATCGGAGAGGGTAATAACTTCATAATTAACTACGTCTGAAAGCAGAAGTCTGGGGCAAATAATTACAAGTGTCTTCAGTGAGAATGTCACAAAATGAGATGCATTGTGGGACATGTAGTTTATGGGCAACGTGCTTCTGTAAAGCGGCATTTAACCGTATAATAAACGTATTATATTCTTTGCAAGCTATGGCAGGCTACATAAAAATGAAGCCTTGAGTTTGACACCCCTGCGTTATGTGAATCCCTTTCAACGTCACATTCAAAAAGCTCAATGTAGGACTCACACACTCTCACACACTCACACACGCATTAATGAGTGATGTGTGTGAGGGAGTAGCATCTTTTCTGTGTTTCTGACTGACGTATTGAGAGCAGCTTCAGGACCGGACCCCTGCTGTGTGTGTGTGTGCATATATTAGTTTTGAAGAAGGCACTGAAGGGAACCTTAAGACCTGAATGTGAGAGGGTGGAAGTGTTTTCTGTTTTATAGAAATCACTTTCACCGTCCTGATCGATTACAGTGAAGTCATGCTTAATGTGTATGAGGTACAGACACACATGAAGGCGTGTTTGAAATGCTTTAAAGTGTTTGTTTTTGATGAAATGGATTTTGTTTTTCTTTTCAAGATGCTTGAATTACATTTGTTCTGTTTTAAAGAGGATATTCTCATTCTGTTTTGAAGGAGAAGTTGTAAACGCTTGATTCAGTCGGTTGTTCTCCCTTTGTTTTATTGACCGGATTTTAATCTCGGGATACTGAAATGTGATTGAAGCGAGTCCTGAGCGACACTTTTAATATAACCGCTGTAAACCTGCACGTCCTCCTCAATCCAAATTAGATTTACACTGGAGCCTCGCAGCGGAGATCAATTTCATTTCACAAATCTCCACAATTATGCAAATCACATAATGCCACCATCCCCTTCAAAAGTTCCCATTGGTTTCCAACGTAAAATAATCCAAGCTGTGACCTCCCAAAGGAACCACCAGTCCGGTGTATTCTGATCTCCTTCGCTGAGTTACCCACATGACTGTATGATTACTATCGCTGCACAGCTGTGGAGCCGAGCAGGGTGCCACCGCTTTAAGAAATTAACGAATTGTGCGCTTCATTGACTGCATTCATTGACAACACACACACACACCCCAGCTCACTGCCTCGGTTAGCACACGGTAGTAATCACACACGCCGTGCTGAACGTGATCAAACTCATAGCGAATGCTCTTCTTCGAGTGATACAATGTGTAGTTCTGTTAAAAAAAAAATCTTCTGTAAGTTTGTTTTTATTTGGAAAATGTTTTGATCTCTAGAGAAACTTTGAGTGAAATTTCTACTTGAGATGAATATGCTGTAAGTATATGTTGTGTATATCTGCAGTGCACACACACACACACACACACACACACACACACACACACACACACACACACACACACACACACACACACACACACACACACACACACAGACACACTGACAGAAGAGTCCATCCTGTGCTGCGCGTGGGTTTCCTTGCCTCATGTAGACTGAAGATCAAGCGGCTTTCTGTGAAGTAGAGACTGGAAGAATGAATAAAAAAAGATAATAAACAAACAGTGTCGCTATTTTTGGAGACTTTATTTATACTGGGTTTTGACAAATTGTACTAATTTCATAAAATATGTAACGCTATATTTTTAAACGTAGTGCAGTTGGTTTATTAGACAATAATAATGTGTTGGTTTTTACTTAATTTGTAAATACATATAATTTAAAGGGACACATTTTAATAGTAAATACATTTGTTCTTTGATATTGAGGTAATCCAAAAGTAAGATAATATAAGATAACTTTTTTCACAAATGTTTTATTTTTTCCTAAATTTCTCATCATTCTGACATTATTCTCAAAATCGCAAAATTCTGTAATTTCCCCCAAAATTCAGACTTTTTATGAACATTTAAGAATTCTGCCTTTTTTTCAAAATCTCAAAATTCTTATTTCTTAAAATTCTCCAAATCAAAAAATGATTACTATTTTCAGAAAATCTCAATATGTTGACATTTTCAAAACATTCTGACTTTTTCTAAAGATTCTGAGTTTTCAACAAATAAAACACTATTGATTTTCAGTTAACACAATATAAAGCAGGATATTATTTACATTTGATGTGTAAGAAATGGAATATTACATTAAAACGTAATCAGGTTACATCACTTTTATTTTGTGATACATTACGTTACTGATTACATGTTTTAAAGGTCACCTATTATGCAAAATCCACTTCTTCATGTCTCTTCTTCATCAACATGTGTCCCCTCTTCTTCATGTCTCTTCTTCATCAACATGTGTCCCCTCTTCTTCATGTCTCTTCTACATCAACATGTGTCCCCTCTTCTTCATGTCTCTTCTACATCAACATGTGTCCCCTCTTCTTCATGTCTCTTCTACATCAACATGTGTCCCCTCTTCTTCATGTCTCTTCTACATCAACATGTGTCCCCTCTTCTTCATGTCTCTTCTACATCAGCATGTGTCCCCTCTTCTTCATGTCTCTTCTACATCAACATGTGTCCCCTCTTCTTCATGTCTCTTCTTCATCAACATGTGTCCCCTCTTCTACATCAACATGATGTGCTCCCTATTCTTCATGTCTTCTCATCAACATGTGTCCCCTCTTCTTCATGTCTCTTCTCATCAACATGTGTCCCCTCTTCTTCATGTCTCTTCTACATCAACATGTGTCCCCTCTTCTTCATGTCTCTTCTTCATCAACATGTGTCCCTCTTCTTCATGTCTCTTCTTCATCAACATGTGTCCCCTCTTCTTCATGTCTCTTCTTCACTCAACATGTGTCCCTCTTCTTCATGTCTCTTCTTCCATCAACATGTGTCCCCTCTTCTTCATGTTCTCTTCTTCATCAACATGTGTCCCCTCTTCTTCATGTCTCTTCTATCATCAACATGTGTCCCCTCTTCTTCATGTCTCTTCTACATCAACATGTGCCCCCTCTTCTTCAGTCTCTTCTACATCAAACATGTGTCCCCCTCTTCTTCATGTCTCTTCTACATCAACATGTGTCCCCTCTTCTTCATGTCTCTTCTACATCAACATGTGTCCCCTCTTCTTCATGTCTCTTCTTACATCAACATGTGTCCCCTCTTCTTCATGTCTCTTCTACATCAACATGTGTCCCCTCTTCTTCATGTCTCTTCTACATCAACATGTGTCCCCTCTTCTTCATGTCTCTTCTTCATCAACATGTGTCCCCTCTTCTTCATGTCTCTTCTACATCAACATGTGTCCCCTCTTCTTCATGTCTCTTCTTACATCAACATGTGTCCCCTCTTCTTCATGTCTCTTCTACATCAACATGTGTCCCCTCTTCTTCATGTCTCTTCTACATCAACATGTGTCCCCTCTTCTTCATGTCTCTACATCAACATGTGTCCCCTCTTCTGTCTATCAATGGTCCCCTCTGTGGAAAGAGACTCTGAAGTTTCAGGAACAAAGATTCTCTCTCTTTTTGTCCTGATCCATTTTTATAAAAACCTGTCTGAAAATGAGCTGATCAGATTTTGGCCACTTGATGATGTCATAACGATGTGTTGTCTTGTGTAACCATTAGCCAATCAGCAACCAAGGTAACCCCCGCCCCACCTTATCACCTGAATCTCCTCCTAGAGCACCATTGAGTTCTTTGTAACCAAATGTCTCTCAGAGGGGCGTGGGGAGGGGCTCCTTATTTTCATCTAAAGTAACAGACAGAGAATCAGCACTTTGGAAACAGGGCTGAAACAGAGGGGATTATGGGTAATGCTGCTATGATCTGTTTGGTGTTTCAGCCAATCAGAGACAGGCTCTGGATATATCTGAGACCTGTGATATATTGATGAAGAAGAGGATGATAGGGGACCTATAAGTAACTTCCCATCCTTTTATTTAAAGGTGTTGTCGTGTGTTAGACCTCAGGAGACTTGTGTAGTACGGAGGATGACTGCACGAGGCACACAGATGAAATATTCATCTGTTACTGCAAAGTCTAAAATAAAAGACTTTAAAATATTGATATACTGAAAGCATTGTTATTTCGGGAGCTTCACCTAAAGCACGTTTCTCCCTCAGTATTCCTATCTGTGCCTCTTTTTAATTACTGCTGCGTTAGTTACTCAGTGAGTTTCTTCAAATCCAAAAATGTTGACTTTTTCTTCAAAATCTAAAAAATCTTAAAATATGGACTGAATTCTCAAAATCACAACTTTTGTTCTATTTTCATAAAATCTGAAGATTTCGATTTTATTCTCAGAATTCTGACTTTATTTTTGAAATATCATTTTTGAAATATAATGACACAGAAACATCTGTAATATAATATGTCACTGACTTTTATATAAGGACCATTAATAAAAATACATTCATCTCAAAGAGAAGAGATACAGATCTAAAGGGTTTGTTTGTTTTTAAATAGATAGCTAAATGTATATTGTAGTTTGATAGATATTGCTGGGTTGTTAGCTAACTGAACAGTCATTGTTTAAAATGCTGCTTTTCCCTCAAAATTCTGGCTTTTTTCAGAAAATCTAAAAATCTGACTTGATTCTGAAAATGGCAGAAATGGCAACATTTGAACTAGTTAAAGGGCCCATGTCATGCTTTTCTGGTTATTACCCGTCCCCTTGTGTGTTATGAAGCTTCTGCATGTAAACGGTCTGCAGAGTCACAAACCCTCAAAGTGCACCCTGTAGCGAGTAAAACTCTAACACAGAGAAGACCTGTCTCTGCTGCCCCAGAACGCCTCGTTGGACATTTCTCTTTTTCCATTGTTTGCTTCCTGGGTTCTGTGACGTGTGAACACCCAGATCAACAACAAATGACCGGATTGGCCCAAATGGACCAATCAGCGGAGCACCTCACACGCCAGGATCCCTTGGCTAACTAACAGGGAGTCCCCATTGACTTGCATAGAGCTCCCTGGTTGGTAATAGGCGAGTTGGGATCGCGGAGAAATGCTCTCCGCAGACCCATTCTCACAGCGTTATAAACAGGTGTGCAGTGATCTAAGCCTCTGCCTCCTGTGAAGCTTCACAGGTCCGTCGGTTATGTCCTGCGCGGCACGGCCAGCACCCAGTTCAATCAGTCATAGAAAGTCTGAAGATTTTAGCAGGGAGCGAAACGGCAAAGTGGCTGCTTAATGTCTTTGTTTTTTTTGGACATGTCTAATAATTTACTCCACTGAGTATTGACAAGAAACATGTGTAGGCGAAATATGTGTTTTGTTTTGATGACCTATCAGGTACGCAAAGGCGCGTTGTGACACAAGTGACGTTACGCATTTCAGATTGTTGCCGCGCATGCGTACCTGCGTACCAGTTATGTGCACCCCTGGTTATAAACCTTTTTCTCAATATCAAGCCACACTTATTGTTTTTACTTCGGCTGTGAGTGTTTGTGTGCTCAGGATGCGTTTCGCTTGTTCTCGCTGTATCGCCGACCCGGAAACCTGTCCGCTCCTCGCAGCAATGAGCCTCGCAACGTCCCGACCAATCAGAGCACACTGGGCTCACAGGGAGGGGGGGGCAGGAGCTCCAACAAGCCGTTTAGGACAGAGAGTGAATACACTGATAATATTTCCATTGTTGAGGTCTACTAGAATAGATTTAAATTGTGCAATTTTCCAAAATCACATTGGTTTCTCATACAGCATCTCTGTATAGCATATATGGAAATGGCCATGTCATGGGCCCTTTAATGAAAATCTCGAAATATTGATGTTTTCTTTACTTTTTTCTTAAAATGTCGACTTTTTCTTAAAATCCCCAAATTCTGACTTTTTTCTCAAAATACAAAAAAATGTCCTAAAAATTCTCACTTTTTTCTCAGAATCACAACTTTTTTTTACTATTTTCTGAAAATCTGAAAATGTTGACGTTTTTCAAAAAATCTCAAAATTCGGACTTTTTTCTCTAAATCTTTACTTTATTCTTAAAATCACAACATTTGTATTATATTTTGCAAATCTCAAAATTCTGTATTTTTTCGAAATTCGGATATTGAATAATTCATCGGTGAATATATACTATAGGCTCATTTTGAATGCAGGACTTTTACTTTTAACAGAGTATTTTTACAATTGACAAATTATGCTTTTACTTGCATTCTGTTATTGCATCATGTCTGCATTGTTTCTGCTTCTTGTTTCTGTTGTACTCTGTAGTTTCTGTGTTTCTGCACCGCGCCTTAAAGTCCTTTCAGGAAAATGAATGTTTATGTTTTACCGTCTGGAATAAGAACCGTGCCCTGAAGGAGTCCATTAGTCCCGGGCCGAGATGGGTAAAAATGGGTGAGGCCGTAATGAATCAAAGGGGGAGGGGACCGCGTCATGGAGCCCCTCGCGTCCAATGGAGGCTGGGATTGGACTCTTTTCTCTCTCTCTCCGGGGGGGCGGGACTCCGTGTTTGACAGCTGCTCAGATAGAAAATGTAAAGCACATAGATGTCTGGGAACATGCTGCGCCACACAGGGATCTGGAAGATGCAGCATGGGCTTTTATAGGCTGCAAATATCCTAAATCTGCAATAAATTCACGAGGATTAATTCGCTTCTTTTTTGTGGGTCGCATGTGAGGATTTTGAAGGACCGTTAAGATGCACCGCGCGTTCTCCTTCCCGGTGATTGTGGAGCGCAGCCGGACCAAAGAGCGCCTCGAGGCGAGTCTGACCGAGCTGCACGAGCTGGAGCTCCGCGCGCAGAGGCAGGAGAGCCTGGTGCTGCGTGCGCTGGCTCTGGGAGACCCTCCTCTGAAGAGAGACCCTCAGCGAGACCCTCAAAGAGACCCTCCTCCGCACAGAGACCCTCAGAGAGACTTTTTTCTGCAGAAAGACCCTCAGAGAGACCCTCAGAGAGACCCTCCTCCTCACAGACACCCTCAGAGAGACCCTCAGAGAGACCCTTTTCTGCAGAAAGACCTTCAGAGAGACCCTTTTCTGCAGAAAGACCTTCAGAGAGACCCTCAGAGAGACCTTTTTCTGCAGAGAGACCTTTTTCTGCAGAAAGACCTTCAGAGAGACCCTCAGAGAGACCCTCCTCCGCAGAGAGACCCTCCCAGAGACCCTCAGAGAGACCTTTTACTGCACAGAGACCCTCAGAGAGACCTTTTTCTTCAGAGAGACCCTCCTCTGCAGAGAGACCCTCAGAGAGGCCCTCTTCTGCAGAAAGACCCTCAGAGAGACCCTCTTCTGCAGAAAGACCCTCAGAGAGACCCTCCTCCTCACAGAGACCCTCAGAGAGACCCTCTTCCGCAGAAAGACCCTCAGAGAGACCCTCAGGGAGACCCTCAGAGAGACCCTCAGAGAGACCGTCAGAGAGACCCTCCTCCTCACAGAGACCCTCAGGGAGACCCTCTTCTGCAGGAGTCCAGCAGCTTGGGGCAGGAGAACCTGACTCTCCGGAGGCAGCTGGTGAGAAGCCTTTTACTCTCTGTAGCACCTCAGAGACTTTCATTTGAATAAGATGAACAAACTATTAATAACACTGTAAAAAATACTGTGAAAATAGAATAAAAATACGACACTTTTTGTAGTAAATACTATAAAAATATTATAAAAATACTTTGAAAATACACTGAAAATACACTGAAAGATACTATAAAATATAGTAAAAATACTTTAAATAAACTATAGAAATACGATCAAAATACCATAAAAATAAAATAAAAAATTGATAAAATACTCAAAAAATATAATGAAAATACAGAAAAACACAATAAAAAAAAATGCAAATAAATCTCATTCTTATTTAAATCCAAAGTCAAAGAAGCATAAAGCCTAAATCACTGAGACCTTTCTCACTGTCTGAGTATCTTTCAGCCTGACCGCTGCGTGGACTCTCCTCTGCCCGGCCTCTTTTGTCTGAGCTGACCTCCATCTGCAGGAACAGTGACTTAACTTGATTAATAGCTGCTCTGTTTGAAACACACACACACACACACACACACACACACACACACACACACACACACACACACACACACACACACACACACACACACACACACACACACACACACACACATGTCTCTAACGGCCCATTGTTCCCTCGTCAGGGACTTCTGTAGCTTGTACTGCTCAACCAGCTCCTGTGTGCACATCGTAAAGCAGTCAGTTCCTCCCTCAGCTTGTGCGACATGTTCAACTCACATTTTAATATCATAATTGTCTTACGGATGATTGATGACATGGCTCTTTTGGGGTAGTATTCCCACGATTAACATGATAAATACGACTTTACGACAGCAGCATCTCCTAGACAAAGTTTTCCGCGCCACTGAGCACTGCTTCTGAAGTATAGCACCTTGAAATACAATTCACAAAGTTCTTCACAAGAAAGAAGAAACATGAATACAATAACAGCATGAGGCAGAAATTAAGGTTAACATAAACACAAAACACAGACCACGTCCTCAAAGAAACACAAATAACACACCACACGATGTCACTATAGGTTTTATTTCTTAGGTTATTTTTGTATCTTGGAGTTTCCGTTCCAAGCTGTCCCAACACTGCTACAAAGAGAAGCCATTATTAAAAAAGGGTGAAAAAGAAATTAAATCAGCCACCTCCTCTTCACACCACCTCCTCCTCCTCCTCCTCCTCCTCCCAACAATAGGCGCATATGGAGCAGAATACTAATGGCTCCCATGGAGGCCCCACCGAGGAGACGGATACGCTCTGCATGCATTCATCTGGCTCTGAAGTGAGTATCTGTGAGGGTCAGTACAGACGGGCTACAATTCAAAATATTAGAGTTAAATACGATAGAAATACAATACAAAATGTTTTAAAATATTTTAATTACAATAAAAAATGTTTTAAAATATTTTAATTACAATAAAAAATGTTTTAAAATATTTTAATTACAATAAAAAAATACTTTAAAAATGCAATAAAATATAGTAAAAATACATTAAGAATGCTTTAAAAATAAAATGAAAATACACTAAAAAATACTATAAATAAACAATTAAAATACTATAATAACACAATGAAAATATAATTCAAAAATACAATTTAAAAATAATGAAAATGTGCAAATACAAAAAAAAAATACAAAGAAAATATTAGAGAAATAATAAAAATACAATGAAATGGTAACTATAAACCAATTCCAACGAACCGTAATAGTGTATTGACAGGAAACAGACATTTCCATTAAGAACGAAGGAGTGACTCCTCCCTCAGGGCTCCATGTCTCCATCTCCTTCTCACCGTGTCCGTGGATCAATGTTTATTAACCGCTATGTGTATCCGAGCGCGCGCGTAATTACACGGCATATTCCTCGGAGAGTCTGTTTTTTTTTTGTACTTGAATTGAAGATATGTGGTCACCATCTGCGTCCGAGACGAATCACCAATCTCATCGAGCAGGTGGAAGTCAGGGTGGGGGGGGGGGGGTTACTTTAGAAATGTAATACATCACAATTTAAATGATGTGACGGAAGAAAAGAAGAAACCAAGATATTTAGGATCAGAACGGATTTTATTTATATGAAAACCTGCCTTTCATGAAGCGCCTAAACACCAACACTGAAGCACATGAGCTCAGACTACAGTTTGAAGAAGCAGAAATAGAGAACAGCTTACAGAGACAGAAAAGCTGATACACTCTGAGTTTTGAAAAATAGTAAGATTTATATAGAAAGTCAGGAATGTGAAAACATTTCGACTTTTTGGAAAAAAAATGAGAAATTGGATTTTTTTTTCTGGGAAGTCTGGAATTAAAAAGATGTGACTTTGGGGGAGAAAACGTGTGATTTTGGGGGAAAAAACGTGTGATTTTGGGGGAAAACGTGTGATTTTGGGGGAAAACGTGTGATTTTGGGGGAAAACGTGTGATTTTGGGGGAAAAACGTGTGATTTTGGGGGAAAAACGTGTGATTTTGGGGAGAAAACGTGTGATTTTGGGGAAAAACGTGTGATTTTGGGGAAAAACGTGTGATTTTGGGGAGAAAACGTGTGATTTTGGGGGAAAAACGTGTGATTTTGGGGAGAAAACGTGTGATTTTGGGGAGAAAACGTGTGATTTTGGGAGGAAAACGTGTGATTTTGGGGAGAAAACGTGTGATTTTGGGGAAAAACGTGTGATTTTGGGGGAAAACGTGTGATTTTGGGGGAAAAACGTGTGATTTTGGAAAAAATATCAGAATTTTTATAAAAAGTCAGAATTTTTTCATCAAGAAAAAAATCAGAATTTAGAAAAATAAGTCTGAATTTGGAGAAAAAGGTGAACATTTTGAAATATAAAATTGAAAGGATTTGTAAAAGAAGATTATTAGGTCTACGTTTAAACAAAAAAAGTATATTTCATAAAGCAGATTCAGGCAGCAGGCGTAAAGATTCACACTAAAGTATTAGAACAGACCAGCTGACAGAGAAGAGAGAACATCTGAGGCTTTACAACAAACACTATATGAGCTTTTTAGCTCTTTACTAACACTGCCATCCTGCTGGTAATCCACAACATTTATACATATTATAGTAATTACGTATTTTTCTGTAACTGTGAGGGTTTACAGTTTTTTATCATCTAATCCCGTAAGATCTCCAGAATGCACACAATGTGACACACCCACCCCTGTGTGTGTGTGTGTGTGTGTGTGTGTGTGTGTGTGTGTGTGTGTGTGTGTGTGTGTGTGTGTGTGTTGGTGTGTGTGTGTGTG